CTCTCTCTCTCTCTCTGTGTGTGTGTGTGTGTGTGTGTGTGTGTCCTCTCTCTGTCTCTCTGTCTCTCTCTCTCTCTCTCTCTCTCTCTCTCTCTCTGTCTCTCTCTCTCTCCCTCTCTCTCTCTCTGTCTCTCTCTCTCCCCTCTCTCTCCCCCTCTCTCCCTCTCTCTCTCTCTGTCTCTCTGTCTCTCTGTCTCTCTGTCTCTCTCTCCTCCACATCTCTTCATAATAAATATCTGACAAAGGCAGCTTGAGAAGCAAGCAAGGTTTGCTTTGACCCCCAGTCTCCACACTTACACTTCATCACAGTAGGAACTGGAGGCAGCTGACCACACTGTATCCATCGTCCTGAACTTAAACACGGTGAACGTTAACATTGTGCCTAAGAAATTCTAGCTACTAAGTGAATGCCAGATAGATGGTCTTGAATGGACTGATTAAGCTGCCGGTGACAAAGGCCGTTGTTCCTTTAGCTCGCCACACTCTGGCTGAATTTTTTTCTCCATTGACCTCACACTTTGGCAGAATGTTTGTCTATTCCCAGAATTCTCTTCACTGCACTCTTTACATCTTTGTTTCTTAAGGTGTAGATCAAAGGGTTAAGGCTAGGAGTGACAATAGTGTAAAAAAGAGTGAAAAACTGTCCTTCCTCATGGGATATGGTATTCTGTGGCTTCATGTACATATAAATGAGTGTTCCATAAAACAGGGTTACTACCGTGAGGTGGGAACCACATGTATTAAGGACCTTTTTCCACCTTGTTGCTGACTTGATCTTCATCACTGCCTGAGTAATGACTCCATAGGAGATGAGGATTAGTGATAGAGGTACTAGAAGAAATATAACTCCAAGAGTAAACACAACAATCTCGATTACTCTGGAGTAGACACAAGCCATCTTGATCAACGCTGGCATTTCACAGAAAAAATTATCCACTTCCCGGTGCCCACACCTTGGCAACTTCAAAGTCAAGGAACAGAGAATTAAGGCACTGCCGAGACCACCCATCCAGGCTGACAGCACCATCTTCTGGCAAAGAACAGGGTGCATTATTACTGTGTAGTGAAGAGGTTGACAAACAGCAGCATAGCGATCATAGGCCATTACAGCCAAGAGGAGACATTCTGTGGCTCCCAGGTCCAGAGCAAAGAAGAACTGGAGCACACACCCTCCATAGGTGATAGACTTCTTTGGACCCCATAGATTTACCAGCATCTGTGGGACAATGCTAGTAGTGTAACATAGGTCTACAAAAGACAAATTAGATAAGAAGAAATACATGGGAGTATGGAGCTGAGAGTCCAGATAGGACACTAGAATGATGGTTGTGTTTCCTACCAGAGTCACAATATAGAAGATGAAGACAATGACAGAGATGGCGTGCTCCAGTTGTGGTCGACTGGAAAATCCCAGAAGGATGAAGTCTGCCCCAGAGCTTCTGTTTATTTCCATCACTCCTTAGGAAAGGCTAAGAGACAATACTATGGTAACCAAAAATAATTTCAGCCTTGGGTGAAATGGAAAGTCACTGACTTTTCTCACAAAGTATCTAAAATTCATCCATCTGCATGCATCTTCTTATTGTAGCATATTTAAAATATTTGTCAATGACCAGTCCATACTTATTTATATCCAGCTGATTCTACAATGTGCTGAACTCAGTCCCTGTGCATTAGAAATCATTGAAAAGCATGAATATGCAGTATCACCTCATCCATGGTTCTGTGTGTTTTGATTGTGTGTCAAAGCCATAATAATTATAAGAGTCATATTATATACCACATATGTGTGTATATGCGTGTGTGTGTGTGTGTGTGTGTGTGTGTGTGTGTGTGTGTGTGTGTGACTCAGGGCTTTGCAGTGTCACTTGTGCTGGCCTTGAACCACCATACCCTGCTGGAATGGAAAAGATCTTGAAATTTTCCCCTGGAATTACAACATTTATCACTTGATAAACCTTTTCTTTATCAAAGGAGCTAAACTTCAAGCAAAAAGTTTTTAACTTTTTATGTGCTCCACCACTTGATAGTATAATCCTTTCTCTCGTGTTCATTTACAAATGCCTACATCCCAGCTATTATAATTATCATAACCATACCACCAACAACACCTATTCCCTCTCTTCTGAGTTTTTCTCTATTCAATATTGTGAGCATTTTGCTTTCTGTATCAACTTTGCTGTTCATAGCTACACTTTTTTGTTGTTGTCATTGATGATATATCTTTGTTTCTAAAGAAATAACCTTTCTAATTATTAACCTTTTTGTGATTTGTGCCACTTTGAATACCTTAAAAATGCCTGTTAGATATTCTGCTCAACTTTATGGATTTATTTCAGGGTTAAACATTGACCCAGTTCCAGAATCTTTTGACCATTACAGACATATAGCAACAGCCGCTGTCAGGTTCGGGTCCCTCACCCACTCCACAGAAGCCTGGCAAACGGTTCAGTAAGAGACAGTTCATACAGCAAGCAGTAGAGTGCCCATCCTCATCAAATTCAATAGCAAGTAGGTTTTCCGGTTACTGTGGAGCCTGTTAAGAAAAACCATCACCTGGTTACCTCTGAAAGAGAATAGATAGGGAATAAAACTTTCATCAACCTTGCTATTTCTGCATCATGTGACATATCTGTGCATAACATGCAATGTTTAATCATTCAGTATATTTTTTGTCAGTGAGCTTTGAACCATGAAATTCAGACCTAGAACTTCTTATATTTATAGCGTTCCTATAGGCATGAAAATAAAGAAAGCGCCTCATTTTCACTATAACAAGGTGATGATAAATTACCTCAAGTAAATCATTGTGGTATAAACCTTAGAGCATGAAAATGTTTTAATTATGAAAATGAGGGTTTTATTCACAAATTATGTGGAGTGACAATGTAGTTTTTCCTAGTCTACAATGTAAATTTAGCTGAATATCAAGCTTTTATATTAGTAGGATGTTTTTATATAAGTGGGAAGTCAAGCATAGCGCTTAGATGAACTATTTTCTTTTTCTTTTTTTTTGGGGGGGGGGCTACTTTTTGAGACAGAGTCTCTTATAGCCCAAGCTGACCTTAAATCTGCTGTATAGCAGAAGATAGTCTTGAATTCAGGATCCCTCTGCCTTTACTTCCCAAGTGCTGGGCTTGCCAGCATGTGCTACCACCCTTGATGAATCCCAAGCAATGTACGTGGTATTAAATCCCAGTCATAAACTGTACATAAGCTGTACTCTTGGGCAGTAATTTAACCTAACTGAATGCTAAGCTCTTCATATGTGAAGTGACTATAATAGTATTCCCTTCTTCACTGGGAGGTTAGGAACATTAATACTCATGAAAGTTCTAGAACCTGAGCTTGTATTTAATTTTAAAAAGACAGACTACCCACACTTCAAACAAGCACTCTTCTCCCTGACCCCTTCACCTTTTGTGATACTCGTTTTACATGATGGTTTAGAGCTAAACTCAAATTTCTTGTTTTTTTTAACCTGACTTCTAAGATGTACAAATGTACTTCTGTGCACAAAAATATGCACAAGCGTAGTATAATACATATCCTGTGCAGAGAAACCATAGGATCAGGAGATGACTTCAGCTCCTGAAATACTGTGGTTATAAGTTACCTGCGTTCATTGGATTTCTTAAAGTTGAGGATGTTCAGAATTAAAAAGTCATGATTTCTAAAGTAGAAACAAACCTCAGAAGCTCTGGCTCCATCCCTCTGCAGCACAGACATTCTTTCCAGAGAACATTCAGCAACTCGCATTATGTAAGCTCGGTGGCAGGGAAATTGGCTTTGCCTTTAAGTGTGCCTCTTTCGCTGAACACAAAAATCTCCTGTTTGGTGACACCTAAGCACAGGCTCTTTGTTTTAATTCCAAAAGAAACACCAAAAGTAGTCTATCCACCATGGCCTCACATCTAGCATGGTTTAGTTAATAAATAAGACAGATGCAATATCAAAATAAGGAAGATGCTGAGTAGATAACCAGTCTAGCAACTAGGACCCAGTCAAAAATAGTACAACTACCCCAGAAGCCTTCTTTCTACCTCATTCTTCATAACTCTTCCTGAACCATCCACTACTGGTGATTCTTCCCTTTCATTTTATTAGGTTGAGGATGTAAATGTAAGTATATATTGGATCATTTAGCTTCTCAAAAATTGGAGGTCCTAGCCAGGCGTTGGTGGCGAACTTCTTTAATCCCAGCACTCAGGAGGCAGAGGCAGGTGGATTTCTGTGAATCCGAGACCAGCCTGGTCTACAGAGTGAGATCCAGGACAGACACCAAAGCTACACAGAGAAACCCTGTCTCGAAAAACAGAAAG